GAAATATTTCAGATTTTTGTGTTTCACGGATTTATCTTAGGACTGATTGTAATGTTATAGGGAATAGTTGAGGGAAATAAGCCTCTTGGGAGAGGTAAACGGTCCGCAAGTATGCGAAACTCACAGGAAAAGAAGTCTGTCAAACCTCAGGATCGTACTTCCTCAAGTAACTACATAGTAGAAGAAGATGAGTCGGCTCCATCAACTGCAGTCATAAAAAAACAAGTTAACTTGCCAACTAAAGTTAGGAGCAGAAGAAAGATAGTAACTGAGAAACCTCTAACTATTGATGACGTGAAGAATTCTGAGAACCTAGTAAGTGAACTTTCTGATGCTAAGACTCTATTGCCAAATGATAAAGAAACACAATGATAAATCTGTTTATCTTAAGTTCATTAAGGGATTTTTTTAGTTCCCTAATTATATGTAATACCATATACTTTCAATTTGCAGGAGAAGTTTTCCCATTGCATATCTGGCTTCCGAGCACGAAGATGGTGTCTTTTTGAGTGGTTCTACAGTGCAATTGACTACCCATGGTTTGCCAGACAAGAGTTTGTTGAGTACTTGGATCATGTAGGGTTGGGTCATGTTCCTAGGTTAACTCGAGTTGAATGGGGTGTCATAAGAAGGTTATCACTGCTAAAATTCTACAAATTGTTTTTTTTTTTTTTTGCGTGTATATGTATGTTTCCTTAATCATTCTCTGTTGGTGCAGTTCTCTTGGGAAACCAAGGCGATTTTCTGAGCAGTTTCTGAAGGAGGAAAAAGAAAAGCTATACCAATACAGGGACTCTGTAAGAAAACATTATGATGAGCTAAACAAGGGCATGAGGGAAGGACTTCCTTCAGATCTGGCTCGGCCTCTAAATGTTTCACAGAGAGTTATTTCCCTGCATCCAAAGTCAAGAGAGATTCATGACGGCAGTGTCCTAACTGTTGATCACTGTCGGTACCGGATTCAGTTTGACCAACCTGAATTAGGGGTGGAATTTGTTAAGGTACTCTTCCTAACACTGCAACTATTTCTGGCATTTGTAGAATCTGGATTTTTCTGACATTCTATATATACATGAAGATTCACTGTGAATATGGAATAACCACGGAAAGTTAAAAAAAAAGGAATAGAGAAATTAATCCTAGCAGTTTACTGCACATTTGTGAAATAATATGTTTGGTAAATAGAATTGCTGCTGAATTTCCTACAACAGCAATTTAGCACTTCATGACTTGGGATTGTTAGAACGAATTTGAATTTGGATAACCTTCAAATAACATTTAAATCTTTCTTTTGGTGAAGGATACTGAATGCATGCCACTGAATCCTCTAGAAAATATGCCAGCATCACTTGCAAAGCACTATGCTTTCTCGAATAATCACGTTCAGAATCCTAGTGAGGAGAAAATCCATGAGCAGGTTAAGGAAAGCATGCCGGAAGAATATCTCAAACTTTCGTGCGAGACAGGCCATCCCTTGTCCTCACCAAATTATAACATTAGCAATTCACTAAAGCAGGAAAAGGTTGGTATTTCTCACCCTCATGCCAGGGCTCATATTCTGCTTTTCTATGTGCTATATTCTTTTGTGGAGGTTCGTTTTTCTGCATACCTACTGATTTAGTATTCATTTACATCTATGAATTTAAGGCGTTCTTTGTGGTTTACTGGTTTCTTAGATATAGATGGGTTTCCCTCTTAAGGTATTCAGTCTTAGTATTCAGTCTTTGACCAGTATATGTACCTAGCATCAGTCTACCCTGGGAAAGTAACTAAGGAGCTCGTTAGATTATTCAAATCTCTTACTAATCTTATACAAAATATAATGTATGTTCTATTACAGTTCTCGCTGACTGTAGCTAATGTTATTCCTCCTCCTTACTTGCATCCACTTTATAATGCCTCGTTTTGGCATTTGACGACCACAGTGATCTTAACTACAGCTAAATTAAATCCAATAGATATATGTTAATCATGTTCTAGTTTGCCTTAATTTTACAGGTTGATATCTCGAATTCATATACACAAGCTGAAGATGGAGTCAATGAGGCTCTTGATTTACAGTTATTTAATTCTCAGTCTTCAAGTATTGGACATATACATGCAAGAGAAGCTGATGTCCAAGCTCTTTCTGAACTAACACGTGCACTTGACAAGAAGGTTCCACCAGTTGTTAATTCTCAGCCTTCAATGCATTTCTGATTCGTTTTCATTCTGGACTTTCTTTGCTTTCTCTCTTTTCCCATAAGTCATGATATTGCTTGAGTCTTGCTAGCATTAAACTTCTCAGTTCCTTCACATTATATGTAGAGATTGCAATAGGATGTGATTGAATAGAATAAAAGTTTCTAATTGAGTTATAAGGAAATGTGAAATCGTAAATATTACTAATAAGCCTTGAAGGACAGTTGAACATTTTGATTTTCAATATGTTACTCTTTGATTCAAATCCATTTTAAATTGTTTCCTCCATGCCTTCCCTGTTTGTCTAGCTCTTTCAACATTATGGTATCCCTTTCGACTAATTGTTAATCTACAACGATGCAGGAGCTAGTTTTGAGGGAACTAAAGTGCATGAACAACGAGGTTGTGGAAAGTCAGAAAGATGGGAATAATGCTCTAAAGGACTCTGAATCTTTCAAGAAACAATATGCAGCAGTTCTCTTTCAGCTAAGCGAAATAAATGAGCAGGCATGAGTTTATGAAGGAACTATAAGAATCATACGTTGTATTTACTACACACAGCTCCTGATGTTTTGCGTTATATGTATCAATATGCACAGGTTTCATTGGCACTTCTTGGCTTGAGGCAACGGAATACTTACCAGGAGAATGTACCATATACTTCAGTAAGACGCATGAGCAAATCAGGGGAACCTGATGGTCAGCCAACCTACTTTGCATCTGACACTAATGGAGCCCATGTGTCTGAGATTGTCGAAAGTTCTAGAACAAAAGCACGGAAAATGGTATACAAAGCTATACAGGTGTGTGTATAAGGAGTTGGTCTGATTTTATGTTTTGGATCTACAAATGACAAAGCTTCTTAGTTGATAGTTTACTCATCATTTATTGCGCCTCCAAAGGTCTGATCAAACACTTTCGACAGCCTAACGATTTTGTCTCTGTATCTGTTGCAGGCATTGGTGTCACTGAAGAAAGACGAAAATAATGTTGTAAATATTGAAGAAGTCATAGATTTTGTTAATAATCAGCTCTCAGTAGATCAAATAGAAGGATCATCAGTCCAGCAAACACAAGCTGCCCAGGATCACCGTCTTCCCTCTACACCAAATCCACCTAACTCAACTCATACCGATGATTCCCACCTAAACCCACTCGAACGAAATGACCTGCAGATCCCGTCTGAACTTATTTCTCGCTGTATGGCTACATTGCTTATGATTCAGGTGAAAATCTCAAACCCGTTGATTAATTTTCCTGCTGACAGCCATTTGCACATTTGCACGATTACGATATTAGGCCCGAGTTCTCTCTTCACAGTTTTAGATATTATAATGCTGTTCTTTCTGCTCTCGCTCTGTGGTGGCTGCATTAGTCATCTTGTGTTGTGTTCTTCTTTCGTTCCCAGTTTATGATCCTAACGCAGAAACCTTGTGAAAAAAACACAATGCAGAGATGTACAGAGAGGCAATTCCCACCAAGTGAAGTTGCTCAAGTTCTAGACTCGGCGGTGGCCAGTTTACAGCCTTGCTGCTCACAGAATCTTCCGCTCTATACAGAGATTCAGAAGTGCATGGGAATCATCAGAAACCAGATACTAGCCCTCGTACCTTCGTAAAGCAAGAATCCTAAAACCAAGACTTAACCCCCTTCGTCTGTTCATGATGCTTGTAAAATCCATGTTTCCTTATAGAAATGAACTCTTTACATACCTCACTTATTTGGAGTATTTGACTCAAATCTTCTTCAGTTTCATATGTTTTTTTATATGTAACCCATCAGTTATTAGACGGGACTGCATTGCGGTCCATTGTCTTACGAGGTACAAACTAGTTCCATTCCTTATTGTCTTTGAATAATTGAACCAATTCTATTCTTTCTCACACTATTAGTAAACAAATTGCTTTGAATTACTGTGTAGACATTTTTGTTCGGAACCGCAAGCAGAGGGCCCTGAGTGGATAGACTTGTCGATTGGTCCAGCCGCGGACCCATTGTGTTTCTATTCGAGATAGCAGATGTGTCGTTTGGCTCAGTCTGATTCCAAATCTGGTGTGCTAGTGAATTGGTCCGGTCCTACTATTTTGGGGTCGTATAGATTCTAGATAGGATTTTTGTCTCAATTAACTCGTCAATAAAGAGTTTAAAAAAAAATAGAGGTTAACTGTTCAAATGACTCGTAATTATCATGTACACCACATAGTGATGATACAAAGTGTACAATTAACCATAAAAACTAGTGAATAGATGGGGTGCATGTGAAACAATTTTTTTCTATAGGAATGATAATTGAGATTTGGCCTTTATAACAAAGTGAACATTCTGATTATTCTATACGAGAATGATTAAGTCATAATCTTAGGTTAAATCATTTTTGATATGATATTTTGTTATTTTTGTTTATGGTTCCACCATTAACCTGACGTGTAACCACATCATCCTCAGTCCCTATTTTGTTTTGTTTTGAGTTTTGACATATGCATTTCCAAAATGGGCAATTACAAAAATGCCACTTTTTGTGTATATATTTGTAAGAATGCCACTTAAAGGTGTCTATTTACAATAATACCATTAATTATAGATTTA